CATTCTATTGACATGGGTGCATTCATATGAGTAAACATATTCTATGTATTATGTTTGCATGTAATTGGTAACTTTGAAAAGCAAAGTTGGTAAGAGCTTTACCAAATCAATTTGTGAAGTGTATTTGATTGGAGAGTGGGTATCAATATAAACTCGGCATACGGTGACCAGGGTGCTTCAGGCTAATATAAACTATGGAGTCTGCAATGTTTCCCTGACTTGTGATAATAAGACAGTATTTAAGGAGCAGGGTAAAGTAGGAAGGGAAGTGGGGGATAGAGGGAGTGAACCAGTTGAAACTATATACAATTGTAGTTGAGTAGAAGAAGCTGGAACGCATCAAAGTGAAGCAAAAGACAACATAAAGCCTGGAAGAGAAGTTAGGAGAGAACACACTGAACCTGAGTCTCCATGGGAAGGGGGCAGATGGACTGTAAAGAAGAACCCAAAGAGACATATCAAAAGCCAGCAGAGTTAGTGTGAAAATAAGAAACAGGTTACGTGGGGTATCTCCACAAAGCGTTATTTTCCACTTTTGACAAATTACTTTGGGGAATTATTCAACTGGGCAGTCAACCTGTCCATATCTAGGACCTTTGATTTTATGAACTGTTGTATTAGAAGCTGGTATTCGACTATCTGCCAACAACTCTCCTATTGCTGTGCAGACTGCAAGAGCTTTCCTTGTTGTTAATTTATTCTCTGCCCTGCTAAACAATTCTAAAGGTTCGATAATCTAACGAATATGACTGCACGAGCACCTGCACAAATAGAGATTGTATTTGGTACCAAAAGGGCGTAGGTGGGAATGACCCTGCATTTTTAACTATTTGTAAATGCCTCTTCTACATAAGTCCACACTGATCTTTAGAAGCCCTCTTTTACAGTTACATGTGTCTGAATGTTTAACAGAGCTCAACATCAATACTACTCACTACCTATTATACATTAGATACCAGTCTGTGTAAAAAAGATTGATACATTGTTCTTGTTCTAAATTTCATTTTAATTACATAAATTGTTACTAGTAAGTCACCTATAATTACTTATAACAGCCCTGCCCCTGGCTACACTAAATTGTAAGTATCCACTTTGTCCATTTGCGATTTTGTGGTATGCTGACACACACACTGCTATACACACAAATTGACACAGAACTCACTGCTACACACGCAAGTGTTTATATTTGCTGTTATTAATAAAATTATTTTCTTAGCCAGTTTTTCCCTTTTAACCCCTTAAGGACCAAACTTCTGGAATAAAAGGGAATCCTGACATGTCACACGTTATGTGTCCTTAAGGGGTTAAAGTAACAATTCAAGCACCATCACCACTACTGCCCCCTGTAAGTTTGACAACTTACCTTGGTCCCACTTGGACACCTGCAGGCACATCCCTTATTTCCGGTCTTCTCATGCATACATTGGCTGAGAGTGACAGCTGAGTGTCCTCAATCGGCCATGCTTCCTTCTTTAGAAGACTGGATTTGGTGCAGGCACCTGGGGAACCTAGGTAAGATTGTTTGCCTATATACCGTGACACGGCACCAGGGCAGTCCTGGCACCATAACAACTACAATTGGTTGCAGTGGTTATGTTGCATGGAACATTCCTGTAATAAAAGAGCCAGAACTCTAAAGGACTTCAAAGTACTGCTATGGCACAGCACTGCCAAAAGGTTACACACCCCTGCAATATACCACAGTACACAATGGATGGATAGATTAGCTACACAGAAAGACAGATAGAGACCATACTATTCATACTACATTACATGTACTATAACCAGGGTTTCAAATTGCCACTAGCCATTGGCTAGAAGAAATTATCCCTGCTGAATGTGCAATGACCTGTCCACAATTTCTGTGTACAGTAATTTTTAAGGCGTGCATGGTAGTGTAGGGTTTGAGATTTTAAGCCCTGCTATAAATATATACTATCTAATCGAAAAAAAAGTGAAATCAGTATTTAAATATAATCTAATGTCCTGTGTGTGCAGAACATGTGGTTCTATGTCAGCAAGCTTGTATTTTTAGTGTGGGTGTGCTTTCCCTCAAAATGTATCAAACTATTTTATTTACATTTATTTTAAGACTCTAGGGCGGAATGCACTCAGCTTTAATGTTTCAAAAACAACCTATGTGAAGTCAGCATTTTGCTGATTTTTAGCGTGATAGCAATGTATATTTTTGTAGCTGGAAGTCCCCATGAAATTCAAACCTACATTTTAGGATTATTCACTAAACACAGAATTTTAGTGAATTAAATCCATATGGCAGAGCTGAGTCTATAATACATTTTGAACATTTCTCAAACTCAGTCAGAGTCATAGCTTGGCTATTTTGTCCTAAATTTCGTCATTTAAATATAATTCACTAAAATGTGGTGTTTATCGAATAACCCTTTTATTATTCATCTAAAATTTATTGAGAAAGATAATACAGACACCTCCCCAGGGTCCATTCATTTTTCACAATTTACAACATTCTGTTTCACACCCATCAGTAGATAGATAATGTTGTTTTTAAAAAAATGTAGTTTTGCAAATATGTGGGGAAGATGACCATTGCCACAATCTGGAATACATTCACAAACCAGCTCCTCCTTTACTGGCAATACTGGATTACGGATCTGTGAAAGTCCATGTCTGTGTTAGGTGACCCTCTGTGCCAAGGGGTTCCAAGCCAGCTTTAACTTAACACATTAACAATGATGAACATAAACAATGTCACTCAACAGCCATATAATTCTTCAAACTGAATGTCAAATCTTGAGAACTCTGAAGGTAAAACAGGCACCTTAGAAGTGTCATTTTGTTGAGCTCATTTATCTAAACAGCTAGACATTTCATTGTTTGATGAATAATCTTTGAGGTTAAGTTTAGTTCATTTGTATAGATAAATGATATACGTGTCCTGGCTAACTTTTCGATATATTGCTGAAGCTCAGTTCACTGGTATTTGACCATCTTACCATATAAATTAATGGATCCTACCTCTCTACGTAGCTGAACTCTGGAAGATGGCAAGAGTTGTTCCTATAAAGGGTGAATCCAGTTTAGTGTACATACTGTTATCTTTATTCCTGTTAGAAACACATTTTTGCGCAAGTCTAGACAAAAGTCCTACAAATTACATGCAGAGTGACACGGAGAAAGGTAACCTTTCTGGGGCCATTATCCTTAATTTTTCCAAAGCTTTTCATATTGTTGAAAAGCTTTGAAAACAAAGTAAAATACTAATCGTAAAGTTCCTCAACTCTTATATTGGTATCTTCCACTCATCTGTATAAATAGCAACTAGCACAGCACAAACCAAAAATCTTATTTTGGATCAACAGCAACAGTAAATTACAAAGTATGAACGCTTCATTGCGGAGATTCGCAGGTCTCGGTTCTCAAATAGAATATGGACTCGTAGGTCCCATAAACACAAACATTTAACTGTGAACTTATATGTCTTGATATAAAGGTTTCCTGGTCCCTGTTTTAGTATGTATTGCCATGAGGCTCCCCTGTGCTCACCCCACGGACTCGGTTTTTGATATGCTCCCTCAGGACAATGAGGAAAGATATCATTCTGGCCCACAAGCATACATTTTTATCTTTGTAAGGGCCCCCCTTTTCAGATTGGGGTCTGTAGGGTAGGAATTTTTGGGGTGGGAGAGGAAGAGAGAAAGGATCTCCAAATATGTGTGCGTTGCGCTGACAGCGCTCATATTGAGGTCCTCCACTGCTCGGAGGAAAACCTTTTAGGCTGTTTTGACTGAACAGTTGAAGCCAGAAAAATCCAGCAAAAAATCAATTCATTTTATGAGTAATAAAAAAACACCGCTCCTAAACTTAGAAGGAAATAATAAAAAAAAAAATTTAAAAATTTAAAACAGAGGTGATTTATAGGGAAGTGAATTGCAAACTAAAGTGTTTGCTTTGTTCATTGTTTATTTTTCTGTATTTCTTCCTGGCAGAGAAATTCCATTTCAAATGCTCACTGCATTTTTATATTCTTTGTCTTGTTGTAAAGCTTTGATTTAATATTATTGGATACACTTTTCAAATGTTTTCCAATTTTGGGATAAACTTGAAAAATTAATTTTTTTTCTAAATATTAAATATTGCAAAATATATCAATATATAAAAAAAAATCAAAATATCACAACAATAAATTATTTTTAACAACATTAAACTATTTTAAAAGTTCATCCAAAAATATCCAGCAATATTAAATTGAGACCTAAGTTGGAAATTAAAAGAGGTAAAGTCAAAATTTGCTAGCATGATGAAATATTGTTACAATCAGTCAAATAGAATTAAAAAAAAACCCTACAATTAACTATTCACAAGTTACAGTGCATTATCAATTTCTTTCAAACTAAACTGATTGAACAATATAATATATATCATATCATACTTCGGGCGATAAAAAAGAAACAAAAAACATTGTGTTAAATAACAAATAAAATAATTTATTTTAATGGCACAGAAAAAAATACAGTCGAAAAAAAAATCAACAATCAACAACAAATGGGTACAAACCCCCACCCCTCAAAATTAAATTTTTTTTTTAAAAAACATGGATTGTATACTAACATGAAATAAATAAAAGAGATATACAGAAATTCAGAATTGTGAGGGGAACCCAGATACTAAAAAAACATAAAAATTCGTATCTCCCCATAGAAAAGTCTTACTGATGATCTGCATTCTTGATTCTGATGTCCCATGGTTTCACTCATGTCCAAATTGATTAGGATTTCCAGAGCCGAATAAACAGGTGGATAAAATTTTTTTTTTTACAAATTATCCACAAGGCAATGTTATGGGCAAGATTTATGATTATTGAAATATTGTAGAACTTATTAGAACTGTAAAATAATCACTCCATATGTTTCGTATGTAAAACTTAAAAGGAAACCATTACATTCCTGGAAATTACACTATTGAATAAATCATAGAAAATGACCTACACTTGTGTTAACCTTTTTCATGTTGTGTTCTGTTTTCTTTTAAATGCTCACATTGTTTCTGTTTTTCCAGTTCCACATTCTATGTTCAGTGATAGAACAGAACAGATTGTATAAAAGTGATTGACAGGGAGCTAAGATCAGAGACCTCAATTCTAAGATAGAGCTAAATAGAGTAGTGTGGTTCTACCTTTAATTTTATTTCTCAGACCTGTCAAACACCTGATAAACATTTTTCTATTCACAGACAATGTACAAAGCAAAAAATGTCAGAGAGGTGTAAGAGGGGAAGCTTACCGAGGGCAACTACTGCCATTGGCTCTGCCATCTCATAATGTGGTTTTGGCAATGTATAACATTACCATTATCTTAGAAATGACTTTTTGTATATGTTACCTAAATCATACCTCTAGTTGTTGTCTCTATAGCAAGAATTGAATTGACAGAGAGTGGAGACTGCTGCACATGCACACTCTGTCCACAATATTTCTCTGCAAGAAACAATGGATTTGACAAAAGTCTTCAAAACTGAGGACTGCATTGTAGGAGAAGTGTCTGTAATATATTCTAATCCTAATTTGGAAACAGAAGGCATGCTATACAAGTATATTCATTCTAAAAAACAAAAAATGAAAGTGTAGGTACACTGGAAACAGAGATGGTTCTGTTAGTTAATTTTGCAGAAATTTTAAATAACTATTTTTCTTCATTATATATTAATGAGGATCCTATGGCAAGAGAATTGCAAATGATTGCTGCAGAATACTTGCAGATAACCTGTGATTGGATGACTCGAGACAAGATGCTACAGCAGTTAAAGAAAATTAATGTAAATAAAGCTCCGGGGCCTGACGGTATTCACCCACGGGTACTTAAGGAGCTAAGTGGGGAAATAAGTGAACCTCTGTATTTAATTTTTCAAGATTCTTTTGTTTCAGGTATTGTACCGGAGGATTGAAGGAAGGCAGATGTTGTTCCTATATTTAAAAAGGGTTCAAAAGGCTTGCCTGGAAATTATAGACCTGTTAGCTTTACTTCTGTGAATTGGAGTATATTTGAAGGGCAATTAAGGAATAATATTCAGGAATTCATTGGGAAGTACTTTGTTATTAGCAATAATCAGCATGATTTTAGGTGAATATTCTTGTTCTTGGGTAGAACATTGGCTTAAGGATAAAGTACAACGAGTTGTCATTAATGGTACATTTTCAAGCTGGACAAAAGTGGTAAGTGGTGTCCCTCAGGGTTGTGTTTTGGGACTGCTTCTATTTAACATATTTATAAATGATCTTGAAATAGGCATTGAAAGCCATGTTTTAGTGTTTGCAGATGACACAAAATTTTGTAAAGTAATAAAATGTGAACAGGATATTGCTTTGCTGCAGAGGGATTTAGATAGATTGGGGGACTGGTCACTAAATTGGCAGATGAAATTTAAGGTAGAAAAATGCCAAGTTATGCACTTCGGGGTCAAGAATGCACAAGCAACTTACACCCTAAATGGTAGTGACCACACAAGAGAAGGATTTGGGAATTGTTATAGACAATAAATTAGGCAGCAATATGCAATGTCAATCCGTAGTTGCTAAGGCCAGTAAGGTTTTGTCATGTACAAATAGGGGCATAAATTCTCGGATGAAAATATAATTTTGCCTCTTAAGAAATCAAGACCACACCTTGAATATGCTGTGCAATTTTGAGCACCTTTTCTAAAGAAGGATATCACTAAAAAAGTACAAAGACGAGCTACAAAATTGTTAAAAGGAATGGTGCATTTTAGTTATAAAGAAAGGTTAAAAAATTTAACTCTCTTTAGTTGGAAAAATGCCGCCTCAGAGGATATATGATAACAATATACAAAAATATTCGGGGCCAGTACAAACCATTATCTGGAAATCTATTCGTAAACAGAGTTATACAAAGGACACAAGGTCACGCATTTAGGCTGGAAGAAAGGAGATTTCATCTAAGACAAAGAAAAGTTTTTTTCACAGTAAGAACAATAAGGATATGGAATTATCTGCCTTAAGAGGTGATTTTATCAGAGTCCATACAGATGTTTAAACAGCAATTGGATAAATACTTGCACAAAAATAACATACAGGGATATAATTTCTAATTAGTAGGGTAATAGCTGCTTGATCCAAGGAGATATCTTACTGCCATTTTGGGGTCAAGAAGGAATTTCTTCCTAGTTTGTCGCAAGATTGGAAGTGCTTCAGACTGGGTTTTTTGCCTTCTTTTGGATCAACAGCAAAAACATATGTGAGGAAGGCTGAACTTGATGGACACAAGTCTCTTTTCAACTATGTAACTATTTAACTATATTGGACCTGCTTTTGGGCTGGCTAGAAATCAGGATCCAAGCGAGTACTGAAGTCTGATCCAAGTGGGGTGTTTTACTATGGTCTGAATGTTCCTCCAAATAGTAATATATGGGGAAACATCTCCAAATTTGTTATCAACTTCTAATGTGCAAAAACAATACAATGTGGCATATCTCCCATTTGCTAATAAATTGGCCCAATAATTCCCAAATCAGATTAAAAGTTTGGGCATTTGGATATTTAGCAAATATTTGCAGGGTTATTAGCTCAAATATTATTTACTTAAGCATTTAAAATTTTAGGCCAAAGTATGTTAACAGAAAAATATTATATTTATTAAATACTGATATTGACTGTGTTGATAATTGTAATTCCACAGCAATCCAAAGTTATCATAAGACAAACTAGGGACTACTTTGTCTTATGATAAGCCTTTTGTTAAAATAGTTGACAAAAGGCAGAGCTCTTCAGTCAATTTATGTCCAATGCCAGTAGGTGTCACAAGTCACAGATGTGGAATTCAGGTATGGTCTCGCTCATTGCAATACTTTGTCTATAAAAGCACTCACGGTATACTTCATAGACCTCAGTATTGTACTTTTGCGCCTGCAGAATGTAGCACTAACGGTGCTCCTAGAAAATGAAGAGCCAGGAACCGAAAAATACCTCCATAAAAAAAATGGTTGCGAACCTAACCTTAGATGTCACCTTCAGAGGTCTCTGCAAAATATGCAAAGACCCCTGAAAATGATGGATCTGCTTTAAATAAATAAAAATGAGTTTGGAAGGTGGATGGTAGGCAAACAGAGTACCATGTTTTCTTACCATGAGTGGTACAGTGAAGATTTTCTTTATTATATTTCACTCACCCCCACAATCCCACCCCTTTACAGACTTGTTGAGTGCATCCTTTAGTTTTAATTAAGTGCTTCATTTCAAATAGTTTGAGACACGTCTCAATTTTTTAAAGGTGTTTAGTCCAATCTCAAGACTATTGTAGGGGTATGTTGACCGTTTCTGTCTAATTTGGATTAGCACCAATCTTACATTCACTCGGTTCAAGTTCAAGATGGTTTACTAATTTTGGAGAAAAGTAATTGAGTGATTCCCCCGGAACTGCCAAAAATTGCTCATAGAGTAGAAAAATAAATAAATCATCTCTTACTGAATAATCTCAAGGGTATTTAGTGCTTGCTTAACAGGTGAAACAGGTTTTTTTTTTATAAGATTTCACAAGCATGCCAATCATATCACGCAAAAAAACAAACAAAAAAAAAAGCAAAACAAATTTCAAAAAACAGACTATTTTTTACTTTTAATTTTGTTGCAGATTTTGAAAACTGAATGAATTGAAATGACCCAACCCTATTATATCCTATGTTAGTATATCCTGTGTATTCATTTTATTGAAGCTGCTCACTATGCAGTTATAAAAAATAAAAAAAAAAGTCTGGATGTTTTTAACCAGAAGCTTGCTATTATAATGTATATTCCACTGTCCACAAAGTTCTGCATTCTCCCTACAACATTGATGCTGACAACCACTAGTGCATTGATTGCAGTATGTTTTCCCAGTGGCAAAGTGTGTCTGGAACTGATTATTTTTAAAACGCTTGCACATTGTGCACCTGGATCCCATAGTATCACTTACTTATGTTCCTTGCCCAGATAAGACATGAAGATATTATTAAAGAGAATTATTTTTTTAGCCCAGTGCCATCCAATCACAGCTCACCTCTTATATCTACCGCTCACAGTCAGCGCTGTTATTCAGTTATACTGGCCAGAGGGGTGTGAGAGGAGGAGGGCAGGATTAACACGATGCCCAGCGTTAGTACATCTCTCTCGCACACTGCTGGTGCTACACTGCGTAATACGAGCGAATTCATGCACTCTGTGGAATTCCACAAGGAATGTTGTCCAAGTTATACTGCAAAAACATCAGATTAAAAGATGAGTCGACATCACAAGATTATAGAGTTAACTCCCTCGCATACAAATAACTTTTAAAGTGCCAGGGATGAGCGATTTACTGTACTCCCCCCTGTGGAACTGAACGAGTTAAACATTGTTAACTATACTATAGATTTAGAGCATCGATGGCTAGCTTTGGCAACCCCAGACTAGTGTAGACTTTTCTATGAAGACCAGGCAATCCAGATGTTTGTGAACTTGATTCGCATAGGATGCTCAGGACAGGTACTCCAGATGTGTATGATCTAGATGTCCCTATGATGATCAAGCACAATTTAGGCCGGGCACTTTAAGAAAATTACATTTATAAATATGTACATTGTCAAGGTTAGCCAGCACCGCTACAGACCATGTGCGCTCCACAACATCAGCAAGATGAACGGCGTGATATGCATCAATAAATCTCCACTCAGAAGGCATTGGGCGAATAATGTGGGGGCACATCCTCCATGAGGTTTGAAGGAAACAGCACACAAGAGATATTAGGGAGGAATATTGCTACTGAACCCCCCTTGCGGCAATGAAGGGGTTTCCAAGAACAAGAGGCTCAGTGAGAAACTAGCCAGAGGGAGACAAAGAAAAGTGGGAGAGCTCTCAGTGACATCATGCTTTACCAATGTCCCGCCTACGCTAACAAGCTATACTGAGCCGGACTGTGCGATCCAGGTCTCCTAGCAACCCCCGAACCCTAAGAAGTAGAATCACAATAGGACCAAAGGATTCTAGAATCCTGAGGACCATTCGGAGCTGGTCAATGTTCTACAGCTTGCACTGTGCTCCAGAGAGCCCCCAGCAGATTCTGGCTAAGGGGGAGAGAACAGGGACTGCTGAACAGGAGAGACAAAGATCTTCCCTAAAACCACCTATTAAGAAGCTCATTTCTATTTCCTGAGCTGCTTAGATGACTTCTTTATAATTGGGCAGTGACTGCGTGTGCTGCTGTTTGCACACCATCTGGGCTAGCTAGGATGTGGCTAGCATGGTGAGTGTGGCTCTTTATAAAGGGACATACGCGGAAGTCCACTCAGCCTCCTGCTTGCTTTATAAACCCACCTGTGTGATTTGCTGGTGAGTTTTCAGTGCACTCACATCGCCAGCCTCCGAGTGAAGCATGCAGAGTACCAGAGACAAGCGCACAGCCCTCGAATAATAGGCTCTTTGTGTGAAGAGGAATGGAAGCTGAGCCGAGCAGCCCAGCTTAGTCCCTACTTCCAATGATCCGGCTTTTCACGGGCACATTGCTGGCGGTAGAAGTGCAGCTCTGGGATACTGCTCAACTGGATGAGGCGATATGCCAGTCGGTTTATCCCCAGAAAGCCGTGACTCTGGAGAGAGTAACTGGGGAATACGTTGCATTTCTACACATTCTGACTTCCCCTCTCAAACCGTGATTGATGTGCACTATGCTAAGCACAGCTACTGTCCCTAACTCTGCTGCTAGCGTGAGCTATCCTGGAATCCTAGCACCCTTCAGCCTGCGGGCCATCTGGCTCCTCTCTCTGCTACTGGGACTGTGCCAGGCTGGTGAGTTACTTCCACCCTACACCGATCTAGAACTGATACCTTGTGTGCAACAGGTGCTAAGCAACAAGCCGTGCACTACCTACCTATCTACCTACCTGTCTGTCTACCTCCCTACCTATTACCTATAAACCTACCTATCATCTATCTACTTACCCATCATCTTTCTGTCTCTATATATTCCTACCTATCTACCCACCTACCTGTCTGTCTACCTCCCTCCCTACCTATCACCTATAAACCTACCTATCATCTATCTACCTACCCAT